CTTATTTACTGTGCCTAATTTATAAATTAGACTTTATCATAGGTATGTACGTATAGGACAAAACATCGTATATATAGGGCTCAGTACTATTCATGGTTTCGGGGATCTGCTGGGGGTCTTGGAGCATGTTCCCAGCAGATAGGGGGGACTGCTGTAATAGAAATCTTCTTTTTTTTTTTTTGTTAAAGATTTTATTTATTTATTTGACAGAGAGAGACAGCAATAGAGGGAACACAAGCAGGGGAAGGGTCAGAGGGAGAAGCAGGCTCCCCACTGAGCAGGGAGCCCAATGCAGGACTTGATCCCAGGACCCTGGGATCAATACCTGAACTGAAGGCAGACGCTTAACAACTGAGCCATCCAGGCGCCCCAAAATCTTCTTTCAATCGCATTAGCCTCTCCCATCATCACTCAGTCTCCTCCGAACATTCAGATTTTGTGGCTGCAATTGATACACCCACACTGTGACCTGAAAAATTCCCATGCCCTACAAAGGGAGATGTATATAAGTGCTCACTGCAGCATTGTTGGTTATAGTGAAACACTGGAAACAACCAGAATGTCCATCAGTAGAATGATGTTGTCCCATGGCCCCATAATGGGCTACCCAAAAGCAGCAAAATGGAAAAGACGAGAGCCTTGTGTATCACAACACTGAATGAAAATGGCAAATCGCAGAATAAATCAATGTGTTTGCTTACGTGAAATTTAGAAATATGTATAAAACAATACTACACATTGTTTATAAATCATATTCTTGTAATAAAAGTGTAAAAACATGGAGGAGACAGATTCTGTCCAAACTGGGAACCTGGTTTCCCGTGGGAGGGAGAGTGTGAGGTAAGATTAGGAAACGGTTCAAAGGAGGTTTCACCTCCATCTGTGGTGTTTCACTCCTTTAAGGCCAAATATTTGACCGAGATGTGGTGAAATGTTAAGGTTGTTCAATATGTCTGGTAGGTACTTGGATGTTTGCTGTTCTATTTTGGTACTTTACTGTATGTGGGAGCTATTTCATAATGAGAAGATATGATTTAGGCTGCATTAATTTTCTCAAGGTCGTATAAAGGACAACATGACAGGATGCCGGCAAGCTCTGTCCCCACCTCCGTCGTGTCAGATTTCCTCCTCTCTCCCTGAGCCTCATTTTTAAAAATTGCTGACTTTTTAGAAAAAGGTGTAAACACTTGCACCACATGGAGAATACCCCGATAGTCAATCAAGTATTCGTTTGCTATCCTCGGTGCGGTAGCCAGCCTCCAAATCGACCCTTAACAATTCCTACCTTCTGGTATTCACACCCCTCCTACATTTTACCCGGGTTGGCCTGTGTGGCCAATGGAATATGGCAGAAGGGATGGTATTGCTTTTGAGATGAGGTTATAAAAAGACTACAATTTCCATATTAGGTTCACGCTATTTCTTGTTCTCTCTCTCTTTCTCTCTCTTCCTCTCTCTCACTTTCTTGCATCTCACTCTGGGGAAAGCACACTGTCCTCTTCTGAGCAGCCCCTTGGAGAGGTCGGTGTAGTGAGGCATCAGAGCTTTCTATCAATAGCCAATCTGTGACACAGCAATAGGTAACTAATACACTCCATGTGTCCGCCATGTTTCCCCCGTGGGTACAAGATGACTGCCACAGCTCCAAACATCGAGTTCTCACAGGGCGTCAGCTCAGGCAGGAAGAACAGCGGATGGAGCCAAAGGGGCTCTCCCTATGTACTTTCTCCTTTTACCAAAGAGGAAAGTATTCCTTAGAAGCCACCAGCAGATTTCCCCTTGCTTCTCACTGACCACAACTGGATCTTATGATTGCTCCTAGATGCAAGGGGGGCTGGAAAATCAAGTATCAGGTCTTTCAGCTACTGTATAGGGATGTGGGCAGAGAACAAGTGGACGGGGAATGGCTACCGTGTAACAACCACAGGAGCTGCCAGCCCTTCCCACAGTTTCACTTTGTCTGGTTATTTCCACCCGGCACTCTTCACTTTTTCCTCCATACTCTGTATTCACTGTGAACTGGAAAGTAAGCCTTAATTAGATTCAGGTTAAACATTATTGGCAAGATTATTCATGGGCGATGCCGTGACCTTCATACTCACTCACCTCAAGAAACAACCAGTTTCGGGCGCCTGGGTGGCTCAGTTGGTTAAGTGACTGCCTTTGGCTCAGGTCATGATCCTGGAGTCCCGGGATCGAGTCTCGCATCGGGCTCCCTGCTCGGCAGGGAGTCTGCTTCTCCCTCTGACCCTCCCCCCTCTCATGTGCTCTCTGTCTCTCTCATTCTCTCTGTCTCAGATAAATAAATAAAATCTTTAAAAAAAAAAAAAAAGAAAGAAACAACCAGTTTCTTCACTAAATAAACATTTTACAAGATTTGAGCAGAGGGTGGTGCGCCATCATTGAAAAGCTAACCCAGAATCCAGATGCTGTCTTTCTCCCTGACAGCTGTGTCCTGGGCAGCTTCACATATTTTATACGTGTGGGAACTCTGGGTTCCTCTGTAAATTCGTTGTGGGTTGTCTTGTTGGGATCGTGCATGGTGAGTGGTCTCTGTTTCTTGCCCGTGACTGCCTTGGGAGCTGATGAGTCACCTGGGCAGTGCTAACTTAGTTCAAAACCCCTGACAGGATTATGAGCCGACTTAAAAAATCAAATGCAGACAATGCTGGAATGAGATCCTTTCCTGATGGCCTCCACTTGAAGCTCTTAGGGCTTTCAGTATAACACCAGGAACGAGGGGAAATGAGATGAACCCTCTTAGTTGTTTAACTCCGAGGCCCAGGACAGGCGAGGCCTGCGGCCCACTGGCCCTCGTCAGATGTGCTCTACGGAGGCTGCGGCCTAATCCAACAGCCAGGCCTGGGAAGCGGGGATGCCTGAGGCCGCGTCGGGACAAGGCACCATCCTTGAAAGGATGGTGGGCCCCAGCCTTCTCGAGCTCCGGCAGCCTGTGTAGAGCAAGGTGGTCTTGCTTCCTATTTCCTATATCCCCAGAGAGCTGGGGATAGCGAGGTGAACCTAGAAGGAGAGTACTTGTCCAAGGTTGTCTTTCTTCAACATAGCCCCATGCCAGCCTCCTCTGAGTTCTCACCCTTCTCGGCTGCCTCAATGGCAGGGCTCTCTGCCCCCTCTCTGGAGCCTTCCCACCCCCCTGTCTCCAGCTCCAACGTCTTCTTGCCTTCTCAGACACGTCTCAAAGTTAACTCGTCCTCTACCCAGTTTCCCCAGCTCGGCTGCAGTTTCCTTAAGCCAGCCGAAGGCCGCCCTACCCCTCCCGACCTGCAGGCTGAAAATGAGGCCTCAGTAGTGACTCATCCTCATCCAACCAGTCCCCTGGTCATGAGAGTCTCTGCAACCGTGGCTTCATTAGCTTGTCTTCCTGGCCTGGCCTCCAACATCTGTAGAAGGCTACAGTGCTATTCTCCTCCCTCATCCTCCAGTCCTGGTCTCTTTGCTGGGTCTGAGCCCCCCGGCCAGCTCCTCTTGCATGTCGCAAGTGGATCACAGCTTCCTCTTCCGACCCCATTTTCCATTCCACCTTATCTCCCAGATCCATCTGTTCCAGAAGCCTTGACCCTTACTACCCTTTAATAATAACAGATATACCACATGCCAGGCATTTTACAGCCATATCTTTATAGCTTCCGGCTTCTTCACATCCCCCAACCCCCAGCCCCACTATTTAGTTTCCCTGGTGCTTCCAGCCCACGCTACTCACCCTCGTATCTTAACTTTCCTGGCAGGAATCTCAGCCCTGCACAAGTTGGCCCTTAATTATAGACTGCCTCGTGTGGTTCTCTGGTTATTTCACGTTTGCTGGTCTTATTCCAAAGAAGCGGTTAAGCCTCATACCGCTCTGTGTGTGTGTGTGCGTGCGCACACACACGGACACACACGTTTTCCCTCTTACACACACATTTAATCAAAGGTCCCTTCCCAGATGGAGGAGGCAATTATGTATCTTGAACTATCCACCCAAGAGAGAAAACTCCCTCCTAACTGAATCCTGGGCGTCACCCGCATTGTGGATTCCAGGGTGGACCAGGGAGGCCAAGAGTGGATGGGAGTTCCCTGCGACAGGCGAGGCCCTGACATCATATCCTAACAGAGTGCGGAGCTGGACTGAGCACTGAGTGGGGGACTTGGTGTCTCGATTCTAATTCTGCTCCTGCCACTGTACGGTCTTGCGGGGAGGGGAGAGGTGTGATCTTGCCAGCTTTGCGACATCCGAGGCAGAGAAATTTGTGGACTGAGGAGGGGCCTCCTTCCCAGGGCCTCAGTGCACAGCTCCAGGGGGGCATGACCAGTAGCCAACCTGGGTCCCCAGGCACCACCTCCTTTGCCCTCTGGGCTCCAACATACCTCTGACCCCGATGCCCTCATATCTGGCCTCCCAAGCTGTACATTCTTGGGGTTAAATATTGCCATCTCAAATCTATCATTAGAAGAGTGTGCGGTATGAAGCTCCAAACACTTGGAATGATCTAGATTTCAGATTGATTTTTTCCTGTGTGCTTAGGAGACAACATGAAAGTCTGGGGCTTGGCGAGAGGGTGCCACAGGTGACTGGGTCAGTGTAGGGCCAGGGAGAGAGGGTGGGGAGAGATGGAGAGGCGGTGGTGGGTGGGGCCCTGAAGCCTGACTTCCCTTGCTTTACAATTTTGCCCGTGGCCAGTCCTAACATGTGAGCAAACACCCAAGTTCTTACGTAGGAACAAATAAAAACAATTGTGTAACACACCACACACGCCCCACGGAACCTGGAGAAGGAGCCCAGGGAGGGGTGATGCCGTCGGGGGCATGGGTGGTGAGAGTGTGTCCCCCTCAAAAGCCATAACCAACCTGCTGGCTCTGGCCCCTGTGGGGGAGGGGGCACCTTCCTCTTGGAGGGAGGCCAGCATATAATTCCCTGGCCGCCTCAGCGTGTCGGAGAGAGAGGCACCCTCTGATAACCATCGGGGGAGGTTTTGCAACTCAGTGTGTGAAGCCTCCTGGGCTGCGGGCTGGCGGAGCAGCGCCTGCCTCTTTGGGATGGTCCGGGTGGTAGCTGCCGACACTGCTAGGCGTACGAGGCCCCGGGCAAGGGCTGAGGAGTCTGTGCCAGAGATGAATCGAGCCACGCAATGAAGCCAGGGGGGTGCTCGCAGGCCCAAGACGCTGCTCACATATTCGGGGTGCCTCCTGCACCTCGACCTGGGCCTGAAGCCTTTTACCAGCCTTTGGCACTGCCTCCTGGAGGAGCTTGGCAGGCCCAGGCGGTGGCTGTGCGCGCCACCCGTGGGTGTCCCGGCCGACGGGAGAGACGGCCCGTTTCTCGGCTCGGGGCCGGCAGGGCAGCTTGGCCTGAGCTCCAGCAGGAGAGCAGCTTCCGAGAGGCGAGCACTGGGGGGCCGAGGAGATGGAAGAACAGGTGTTCAAGGGGGACCCAGACACTCCTCATTCCATCTCCTTCTCCGGCAGTGGGTTTCTCTCCTTCTACCAGGCCGGGGCCGTGGATGCCCTTCGAGACTTGGCCCCCCGGATGCTGGAAACCACCCATCGCTTTGCTGGGACGTCAGCAGGTGCAGTGGTCGCAGCTCTGGTCATCTGTGGGATTGAAATGGGTAAGGCCTTGGTTCTGGGTACCCTGGGGGAGCCTCTGGGGAGAGTCCTCAAAGTGGAGCCTGAGGATCGCTTGGGGACGCTTCGGGGAACAGAGCCAGGCCTGCTGGGCGGTGGGAAAGGAAGAGGAGGGTTTGAGCGGGACGGCAGGCAGCTGGGACGTTTGAGGTTGGGGTCAGCCAGGTCCCAGTTTCTGACCCACTGGGTGAGTGTGGACCCATCTCTCCCTCTCCCCCTCCCTCAACACTCTTCTGTGATGCTCTGTGGGCCAGGGCCTGGGAGAGGGAAAGGCAGTAGCTTTCCTCCAACATCCTGGTCTTGGAAGTTATGCCATGACACAGTCGGACACTGGGGTGAAGTGTCATTCCTGTTTGGCCTCTTTTAAAGTGCCTGTATTAATATTAAAGTATTGTCCCTGGGTGGGGCAATACTTCACATCTTTACTGCCTCGGTGGGGTAGGTTTGTCAGCTCAGCTTCCAGGTGGCTGGAGAGGTAGAAGCCCTGTGGCTACGGGGATGAACCAGACGGGGAGAAACCAGGAAGGAATCCGGGAGATCTCACTTCACCTTCTTTCCTGCTGGTGCGGGGCCCCAGAGAGAAGAATGGGGTCCCACCTCTGAGCCAGAGGGCAGGGGAAACGGACATGTGCCCAGTAGTCCCACACTGCAGGGCTAGACCAGTGTCCTCACGGGCTGTCTCGAGTGCATTTATTCATTCACTGTGCCACTGTACAAAGTCCGTGCGCCGCCCGCCCCGACCCGTGAAGCAGACATTCTAGAGAGATGAGACAGTAAACATTCAGACAGGTAACCTGATGATGTCGCCTTAGGACGCCATGAGATCTATGGATAAAATGGTAGCAGGAAAGGGGCAGAGAATAAAGTGGGGGCTATTTTTTTTTAAAGATTTTATTTATTTATTTGAGACAGAGAGAATGAGAGACAGAGAGCATGAGAGGGAGGAGGGTCAGAGGGAGAAGCAGACTCCCCGCCGAGCAGGGAGCCCGATGCGGGACTCGATCCCGGGACTCCAGGATCATGACCTGAGCCGAAGGCAGTCGCTTAACCAACTGAGCCACCCAGGCGCCCAAGTGGGGGCTATTTTAGAAGGAGTGGTCAGGGAAGCCTTTTTGGAGGAGGCGGCATTCAAACAGAGGCCAGAGTGATGTGAAGATGGGAGGAAGAGCGTTCCAGGGGGACGAGCGGCCGGGGAGCCAGGGAGTGGGGGCCGAGGCTGGAGAGGCAGGCGGGGGTCAGATGGCGCAGGCGCGATGCCTCGCAGCCAGGGCACCACGCTCGGGCTTCACTGGGAGAGCTGAGGAGCACCGGCAGGCTGGACGGGGGTGGCGTGGCGAGGTGGTGAAGAGCGTGTGCTCCGGGTGGATTGGATCCCAGCTCCGCCATTTCACCATGTGGACCTGGGGCAAATTACTGAATGCTCTGTGCCTCCGTTTCTGCCCCTGGGAAGTGGAGATTCCGCCTGGACCTAATGCCCAGTGTTGTCAAAGCATTAACTGAGCTAGAGTGACGGGTTTACCACAGTGCCTGGCACATGGCAATGCTTGGTGTGTGCCAACTACCTGGTTGGGGTTTTTAAGGAACCTCAGCTGCTGGCAGACTGAGTTGGAGAGGGAAGGGTGGCCGCAAGGAGACTAGCGGGAGACTATGGCGTGTGTGTCTAGCGAGGGATGAACGCAGCAGGTAGCCGGGTCTTGAGGGGCGGTGAGAAGCCGGTGGGTTCAGGATGTACTTTGGAGGGAGAGCCAGTGAGACTTGCCAAAGGGCCAGCAGCGGTGCGGGAGGAAGGGGTACCAGCGGGCCGCCTTCCTGCCTGGGGACCTCTGTGCTGGGTGAGAAGTCTGTCTTCATTGTGAAGAATAATAGTGACGCCCCTTCACCGAGTACCTTATGGGCAAGATCATTTTTTCCCTTCGAATATTTCGCAAGTTATAAATTCTTTCTCACTGTAAAAAATTCAAACAATGCAAAAGTATATAGGGTTTTTCTTTTTAAAGCCTCTGCTCACCCTCCTTGTCCCCAATCCCACTCTCCCTCCTGTAGCCAGTTCTAAGCACTGTGCTTAGATCCTTCTAGATCTTCTTTTTTTTTTTCACTTAAAAACATTTTTTAATTCCAGTATGGTTAACATAGAGTGTTGTATTCATTTCAGGTGTACAATATAGCTATGCAACAATTCTATACATTACTCGGTGCTTATCCTGATAAGTGTGCTGTTAATCCCCTTCACCTGTTTCACCCATCCCCCACCCATCTCCCCCTCTGGCAAGCACCTGTTCTCTATGGTTAAGAGTCAGTTTGGGGGTTTGTCTCTTTTTTTCCTTGTTCGTTTGTTTTGTTTCTTAAAGTCCACCTGGGAGTGAAGTCATGGTATTTGTCTTTCTCTGCCTGACTTATTTCACTTAACATGATACCCTCAGGGTCCATCCACGTCGTTGCAAATGGCAAGATTTCATTCTTTTTTATGGCTGAGTAATTATCCATTCATCTATCAATGGACACTTGGGCTGCTATTATAAATAATGCCGCAATAAACATAGAGGTACATATATCCTTCTGAATTAGTGTTTTTGTATTCTTTGGGTAAATACCCAAGAGCGGAATTGCTGGATCATATGGTAATTCTATTTTTAACATTTTGAGGAACCTCCATACTGTTTTCCATAGTGGCTGCACCAGTTTGCATTCCCACCAACAGCACACGAGGGTTCCCTTTTTCCCACACACTCACCAACACTTGCTGTTTCTTGTGTTTTTGATTTTAGTCATTCTGACAGGTGGGAGGTGCTGTCTCCTTGTGGTTTTGATTTGCATATCCCTGATGATGAGTGACATGGAGCATCTTTTCATGGGTCTGTTGGCCCCCCTACATCTTTTTTTAATGCCCAGAGTCCTCTTTGAATGTAGCAGTTAATGCTTCAGCCGCACAATAGACCCTAGAACAAGCCTTCAGAAAGGAGCTGGGTGAGAGCCCGCACTCTCTCATCTGGGAATCACAGAACTCCTGCCCTTGGAGACATCCTGCCTCTGGGATTCTCTCCCTTTCCAGGTATCTGTGTCACTCACCTGCTCCGTTGCTCCCAGCCTCTTCATGTCTTTATTTTGACTTCTTAAAGTACACCATCTGAGAGAGTCAGTGGTGTTTCCATCCTCTGGCATTTAAGGACTCATCAGAATTCATGCATTTCAATCAGTTCAACCCATACTGTCAAAAACGGACGTGGACAGGCTGAGGGGAGAGGCACTAGAACCCATGGGGAAACCTAACTGTAGGTGTGACTAAGGCCTGGACCACGCACACTGCCCGTGATCAGGAGAGAAGTTCAAGGAGGATGCACATGGGACTTGCCCTTGTCACTCAGCGGCCTGTTTCTGAGATTTATCCATGTCATTCCAGCCTCCTTCATTTGGGTTAACTGCCACGTAATTTACTGTTAGCACTGTTCTGTCTTCAGCATATTAACTCACCCAGTCCTCACAGCACCCCCCTGAGGTGAAAACTATAATTGCCTCCATTTACAGAGGAGGAAACTGAGTCACAGAAGATTTAACTAACTTGCCTAAAGTGATACAAACAAGCGCGCTGAAAATCGGGGATTAGAACCCAGTCTGGTCTTACCTTTTATTTACTTATTTATTTATTTATTTTTATTTAAAAAATTTTTTTAAAGATTTATTTATTTAGAAAGAGAGGGGGTGTGCACAAGTGGAGGGGAGAGGGCTAAGGGCGGGGAGGAGCCTGTGCTGAGCACAGAGCCCAATGTGGGGCTCAAGCTCACGATCCTGAGATCGTGACCTGAGCCAAAACCAAGAGTTGGACACTTAACTGACTGAGCCGCCTAGGCACCCCTGGCCTCACCTTTTAAACCACTCTGTTTCTTGACAAAGCAGTGTCAGGGAGTGCCAATGCCAGTTGCATGGCTCCTAGGGTCAGGGAAGTCTCTCAGAGCAGATGGAATTTGCACCCGGCCCTGGAGGGGGCGAGGGAGTGAGCCACGAGACTATCTGGGGAGAGCATTCTACAAAGAGGGACAAGTGACTTGTGAAACTCCCTGTCATCAGTCAGAAGCAGAGCAAGAAGCAGGACTCCATCTCCTGACTTTCTTTGGGATCTTTACCTCTTTCAGTATATATTCCATTAAGACTATATCATGGCTCATCTAGCCATTCTGTGGATGGAACAGCCACGTTTTTGTTATCAACAACACTGTGATGAACATCCTTGTTTACGTCTCACATGCCCACATAGAATGTTTTCCTAGGATACGCATTCACATTAACATTACCAGACTTGGGGCACCTGGGTGGCTCAGCTGGTTAAGCAGCTGCCTTCGGCTCAGTTCATGATCACAGGGTCCTGGGATGGAGCCCCACGTCGGGCTCCCGGCTCAGCGGGAAGTCTGCTTCTCCCTCTGCTGCCCCCACCCCGCTTTTGAGCTCTCTCTCTCTCTCTGTCAAATAAATAAAATCTTTAAAACAAAAAACAAAAAACATTACCAGACCTGACTAAAGTATTCTTCCGAAGTGTTTGTACCAATTTAATCCCTAGCAGTGTATACAAGTACTAATCTCCCCACAATGTCACCAGCTCCTGGAACTGTCAGACTTCAAAGTTCTAAGTCAATCTAATGAATGTGAAACTATATCTCATTTTATTTTGCTTATTTAATCTTAGTATCCTGATTGGTAGTCATGTTAAGCATGTTTTTATTGTATGTGCTATCTGTGTATTTATTGCCTACTTGTGCGCCGTCTTCTGTGACTTGCCTGTTTGCTCTTGAACTTTTCCTGTTTTCTTTTTCGACCATTACCTTCTTCCCTTTAACTTGCAGATGTTCTTTATATAGTCTGCACACGAATCATGCGTCAGTTATAAGCATTGCCGCTCTCCTGTTTCACTCCATGGCTTGTCTTTTTATTTTGGGGATGTCTTTTGTCATTCAGAAAATTTCAGTCTGAAGCACAGTCAAATGTATCAGTCTTT